AAACGTAAGAGGACGTGATAGGTAGGTGTGGCAGGATGAGTCTGATTTTCATTTGATAGCTCTGTAACCAAACAAAATTGAAGGCTATAAAAATTATGGTTTGTTTAAGCAATGACAATTTTATAGTGAGTAATTTATGTTTAATTTTTTAGTTTCTTGGGGGGTGGGTAGATAAAATAGAGATGAGAAGATACCTACAGAAAAATGTGTCACGTGAGTCACATTGAGGTAAATTCAGTATTTTATAAAATATTACCTTAAACAAAATTCAGAACTTAAAACATTATGCTATTAAAATATGGGTTATTAGCTAAGATTTTATACTTACTAAGTGGTATAACATAAACAAAAAGTAGTTAAATAAAATTTTGAATGCAAGACACTAAAACCTTGTGTCATGCACAGTAAAGGATACTTGGGACAAGAGGGTTAATCTATTTCATCTGCATTTATTTGCTGTGCATTTTATTGTTAAACCATTTGCAAGTTACTGGAAAAAATGTTCTGAATTATTTTTTTTACAGCAGTGGGTGTGGAAATCTAAATTCAAGTGACTTTTGTGACTACATTAAATTCTTACCCACATTGCTTATTAAACAGGAGAAATGTTTTTGGTTAACATACAAATGGAAAAGAAAACAAATGTCCCTTGAAAGATCACACAGTTTCTTGTGATACCAATAACCTTCTAGTAATATTATTTCAGAGAAAATGAACCAAACTGATGGGTAATTGTCATCAGACAAGTCACAGGTGTGAATGTTTGTATAAGAATGGGTTTTAGTCCTTTTATATGTGTTTTCAGGTTAACTCTTTCAGCATGGGTTCAGTTCCTGGGCCCGACTTCGTAACTATTTTGTGCTTGCTATAGTTTTCATGCTATAACTTAAATTAGTAAGCGAATGTTAACAAAATTTGGCAGATTATCAGTAAACATTATAATGCTTTCATACGCAAAATATCTATTTTTTTTTATTAAGTCTTAAGGTTTATAAAGCAGTGTTTTTCTTATGTTCTTTTTTTTTTTCTTTTTGCATGTTACCTATCTATCATGCAAAGTAATATTCATTTTAAAATTAAAAATACTTTTATGCATCAGAAAATTTTGAAATTTCACATGCAAAATCTTTATAATGTCCAGATACTTACCAAACATTTCTTAAGAAAAACTATATTTTATCTATTATTTTCAGTAATGAATCTCTGTACAGGTTTGGTAGATTTGTCTAATCTCGTAACCACCATAAAGAAATTAGAAAATAAATATAAATTACGCCTCTTTCATTCTAGAATGAACACAAATTATAACACGAAAACGTAAATGCTTAAACTAATAACTTAAATCTCATAACATTATACATTTATATGTATTTATTATTTTTATTATATTGACCTTTCAGCCATGCCTGGCTAACAGTACAGAAGTTACCATAACGAGGCTCACGTGCACTTAAATAACTCAAATAACATCAAAATGACCTTTGGTCTTTACGAAATGACCTGTCTTGGCTGTGTTTTAGTAGACTAGTATTTTGTAAAATACAGCCACATTTCAATTATTATACGTTATATATATG